TTGCATGGAAAAATACAAAATGTGAGTAAAATCGGCTAAATAGTTCCTGAGAAATGGAATTTCAAAAATATCAGATGTTTAAAATTCGATTTCCCGAGAACTATTCGACCGATTTTGCTCAAATTTTGTATTTTGCCTAAATTACAGCTGAAATCATGTAATTTTAAATAATATAAAAATTTGTACACCTTACAATTCAGCATTTTCTGGACCACTATTAAATAAAATAATAAGAAACAATAAATATTTACTAAAGCTATTTTTTGCATGAAATTATCTTTGGATAAATGAATTTTATAATTGTGGGCAAAATTTTTAAATTCACTTTGAAAGTTCTTGAGATTATTCTTTTTTTATTTAATTCTATATTATTTAATTCTATATTTCAATTTTTTCATTCTTGTCTTATTTAATTCTATATTAAAAATTTTGGACAAACGAAAGCTCTAACCACTCCAACAAACTTTATAAATGCCTTGCATGGCGAATGGATATGCTAATCTTCACATTCCTAAAACTCAATTAAAATATTTAGGACAGTGAAATTTTCAAGAAACAATAAACCACACCCAAGTGTGAACCTCTCACTCAAAGATGCTCAGTAATTTGGTAAATTATGTGAGACACAATAATAATGGGAGAATTTATTGGGACATTTACAGCTTCAAAGGGTCTACAAAATTGGCGATAAAACTAGACAAAGGAACTTCACCTACTTATTTGTTTAAATGTGTCTCAACAAATTAAATTAGTTTTATAACTCATTTGCGTGAGATAAAATGTTGAATTAAATTAGTTTTAATGTAAAAATTAGAGCACGTGCTTTGTGATACACGCTGAGTTAATGACTTAAATAATTTCAATGAAGTAGCGGATAAACAAATTATTTGTTCTAAATTACAACGGCCATTTCATCATCTGGCATCTTGCTAAGCGCAGTAACTAATCTTCCTTTACCATTTGGCTATGAAAGAATCGCCATCTGATTCAATTTTACTTATCGAATTCTAAAGGCATTTAAAAATTTATTAAATGATGTATTTTGCTTTGGGCTGTAAAGTTCAGAGGTATGGGAAGGCAAGAGAACTGATAGTACTAATAAAAAATATGGTGATTTAAACATTGCAACAACATTATAAAAATTTCAAAATTGAGATAGATAAATAATTTGAACACTCTACAGCTAATTTACATAGTTTGACTTAATAACCGTAGAAACTTAAAAACAGCATAAATCTGTTAAAATTCAAACCCAAAATTCAATAACTAATGACAGATTAAATGAAGAAAAAAATTCCGATTTCGGTTTTGGAAATTCGTGAATTGTTGGAGTTGCTAATTTATGTTCACACGAGTTATTGATGTTAAAACAAATGAGAGGAAAATTTCAAGCATATAAATAAGATTTGTTTGCTGTAAAATATGTAGATTGAACATTTCATTTGTAAAACATAAAAAATAATTATGATAAGAAAAACCTTTGAGGGTTGATAGTAGTTAAATTTGAGGCTTTGACTTTTGATTATATACGTATATACAAAATATGAAAAACTGAGAAACTTCAAAAAATTCTTTTTTGAAATTTTGATCATCGTCTTCTGCATTTAGATTCATTCTCAACATTTTATATATTCTATGCATCTAGGAAAAGTGCAATTTATTTTAATTAAAGCTGCGCGATTTGCTCCTAAGTCAATCTTTCTTTAAGCAATAGAGCGCATGCCTAAAATGTTCTTTATCACCAATCTTCAGGCCCGGTATTTCGAGCACTGATGATTTTTATTTATTAGCATATTAAAACTC